GTTGACTTTCCGAATTATGAAAACTTAGTTTGCTTTTTGAGTGATTTGATTTTACATCTCGTGCTGATTATCACAATGGAAGGTGCATCTTTCACATAGTTCGAGGCAAATTGTAGCTTTAGGAGGTGTTCACATCAAAATTGCTCGAAAACAAATGAACGAAGTGGAGTGATCTGTCGTCGAACTTTCTGCCGCCTGCTACAGTTGAGGTTGTCGAACTCGTGACTATATATACCTTTCGGGCTTGCACGCAGAGCGAGGTGTCATTTGCGTCTTTTGATTGTTGAGAAGTAACCCCTGATTTCTGTCGGACGCTGTGCAGCCGCGTGTTTCGCCGTACGATGTCGGCGTAAGTGTCTGAAGCCTTGACCACCATACGCTCTCTCAAAATCGTTTCGAAGTTAACCTATTTGTCCGACATCCTTGCATCGATCGATTTCTACTTTTAATGTAAATGTGTAACGTTATACTGAGCGTCTGAAGAAAAGGCGAAGTTTAATTAGATGCAGAAATGCCGCCGCTTGTGGAAACAAGTCAGTTCACTCCTACTAGTTCTGAAAGAGTTTAAACCTTGCTCGAAGTTATTTCATCATTACTGAGTTGTTGGAGGTCACCCATCTGTCGTTAAGTCGACTAGCTATGGTATTTTCGTATTCCAGTTTTTTTATTGTTAATATGTATGTATGTATGTTAATATGTTAATATGTATGTTTTGATATGTAGATCGTCTTTATGTTTCTTTTATTCATGTTGAACAGTCAGGTTCTATTAAGCGGTAAACTTTCAAAATTTACATTTTTCACTGTCATGGTTTCTAATACGTCCGCTTTTTTAGAACTCCCGTTTGCAGTCCAGCTGATCTGTTTTTTATGCAAACGGCGGCTCAGTTCACAACTTTACGCCCTTTATGCATGATTTGCATTATCCTGTCATTGGCTTGGGCCAATTTTTTGAATCATCATTCGATATCCCCTGATCTTTGCTCTCATCTGAGGACTATTCCTCTGTTCTCAACTCAGGTCCGCACTCTTATTTTACCGTCTCTTCTGTACGAAGCTATTTATTTGAACCTTGCTTGTTATTCGCTACGTTCTTCGAAACAATGGTTTCAATAAAAAAGATTTAATAATTTCTGTTGAATTAACTCGATGCTATGTGAAAAACAGAAACAAAAGTTTTAGGCTTTGTCGTAGAGTAGATCTTATGTTCCACCTCTACCGAGGTCATTCACGATATCAATTTCATGACGGCTGAGCACACCTCGCTATCTGTTGTATACGGAAGCACCAGTGTTTCTCATTGACATTGCCTGTGATCGTTGTAACAAAAGGTTTAGACAAAGGAGGAACAGTAACTGTTTGAAAATCAAAACAAACTCTGGAATTTTCTGTAGAACTTCTTACCCTATCCTTTTATCCTCTGTCTCTGCATGTGGCGCACTTTTTCATCAGTGAAGGTGCAGCGAATGCTCCTGCGAAATCACTCGGCAGCACGATATTGCGCACGTAGTCAGACTCCTCTAAAATTACTGCAGGGTGTCCAGCATAGCCCAGTTACTATCGCACCCTCTACTCGCAGTCGAAAAGTTGCGTGTTCAAAGGACGACCGAGTCATTCACATTTCACCCATCAGAATTAGGTGAATATCATTTAGACTACACGCTGCTCTTGTCTTACAACGGCCAATATTGCTTTCAGGAAAACAGTTTAATCGCTGTCGATGAAATATAATCTTCGTAGCCTCACAAGTTTCAGGAAAGAGC